GCTCCTAGACTGGAGAGTTAATTACTCCCTTCCTTGCTATAAAACATCTACCTTTACATTTCCAACCCTCACAATCAGTCCTGATAACAATTATTCACCATTGTATCACAAGTGACCCATCTGCGTTTCATTTCATCAGCTCCACCTAGACAGATTGGATAGTACTCACTGGAGATTCTGCCTTCCTCCATGTCCCCTGGCTCTAGGTTTCCTCTTGAAAGCTTGTAAGCCAGTCACTTCTTGCCTTTGTAGTCCTCCCCGCCACCCCCCACCCATTTTGGGTATCCAGTGTCCAAGTTGCCCATCTCTGTCTACTCTGTGTGTTTCTTCCTATTCTTTAATTGTTCTTTGAGAGTAATTTTGTATTAACACAATATATTGTTGTTGTTAAGTACTGTGATGATATTTAATTTTAGAACTTGAACATACATTACTTTATAACAAGTCACCTAAGGGTACTTTATAGCTTTTTTTTTTTAATTATGGATTGAGTGAAAGTTTACAGGGCAGATCATCAATTTTACATTCAACAAATCATACAGTTTATTTCATCACAATGATTACAATCCCCTCCATGTACCATCAGTTTACAGTATTTTTCTCTATTCACTATAACTTTTTTTTTTTTTTTCAAACACTCAGGCATATACAATAATTTAAACCACCACAGGGCACATTCTGCAAGACTGCCTCCTGGCCAACAGCACTCAGTTCCTCTCTTGGCATGAATCTAGATTCCTCAGTTGCTCTCTCTCTTCATGTCCCCATCTCTGCCTCTATCTCTGGTGTCTCTGCATCTCTGGATAAGGGCCTGCATTCTGCTTGTGCTCTTCTCCCTTTATGGTCCTAGGGTCCTTTGTTTCTGGACTATAAGGTTAACTGCTCCCCCATTTTTGTTACTAAACTTGTACCTTAACAATTGTGACAGTAGCAGTTAGTCATGGTAACAATTACTCATTGTGGAATCATAAGAATTTTATCCCCATCTTTTTTTTTTTTTCAGTTTTTATTGTGAATTGAGTGAAAGTTTACAGGGCAGATCATCAGTTTTACATTCAGCAAATCATACACCTTGTTACATTACAATGATTATAATCCCCTCCATGTACTATCAGATAACAGTAGTTCTCTCTATTCACATTAGCTCTTTTTTTTTTTTCTTTTAAACACTCAGGGATATATAATTATTTGTACCACAGAGGGCACATTCTGCAAGTCTGCCTCCTGGCCACCAGCTCTCAGTCCCTCTCTTCCCATGAATCTAGAGTCCTCAGCTGCTCTTTTTCTCTCCATGTACCCATCTGTGCCTTCATCTCTGGAGGTGTTGCTGCTTCTTTGGATAAGGTCTCTCATTCCGCTTGTGCTCTTCTCCCTTGATGGTCCTAGGGTCCTTTGTTTCTGGACTGTAATATTAACTACATCCCCATTTTTGATACAAAATTTCTACCTTTACAGTTGTGACAGTCGCAGTTAGTCATGATAACAATTACTCAGTATTGAATCATAAGAATCTTATCCCCATTTTTTAACCAGGCCCATCTAGACAAGATGAAACTATTCTGTGGGGACTCTTTCTAATCCCCCATGCACTTAAACTAAACTCCCTCTTGAAATCTTGTAAGCCAATCACTTCATGCCTTTATCGCCCCCTCATTTTACCTAGCCAGTGTCTTAAGTTGCCCATCCCTATCTACCCTGTGTACAGAGGGGATAGCATTGATACTTGATGTGAAGACTCCTTCCCTCTCTGTTGGTATTTAGAATTACTGCTTCTATGAGTATAGGTCAGGTTCATCAAATTGTAGCAATTTACCCTTGTTTCCTTTATCAAACATTATTTTGTTTTGTTTTTTTTCTTCCTATAGTCGAGTTCTGATTTTCAAGCCATCGAGGCTAGGTCAAATGGGTACTGTCTGCAAGTTTAGGTGTTCTTGTGCATCTCCCCTTACTTCATACCAGCTGGATGCTTCACTCTTAGCTGTAGCCCACTTATCTTCGTCCATTGTCTCATGTGTCCCCAGGTATCACCACACTTTGGACCAACCAGCCCTTCTTCTTCTCTCTATCATCTCTAGGTTAACGGGAGTCAATGGACCATGGTTAAACTCAGCCCATTTCTTCATTGCTGCCTTTTCCCCTCTTCCACTCACCAGTAACCAATGTGGGTGCCAGTAAACTTACATACCTGCTAATGTGTTCCCTTAGAGTTTCAGTCTTAGAGAAGGTTTTATCCTAAAGGAACTTGATTGCTTGCCTTGTTGGCTCCCGATGAACAGCTTGCTTATTCTTGTAGAAGCCAATCTTGTAGAAAGATCATCAGGAAAAACATTTTTGTTTCGGGTTTTTCCTGATGATCTTTCTTTGAAGGTGTATCTTCTGTTGCTCAAGCTGTTCCAGGCTGGTTGGCGTTTCCTTTCTAGTGGGAATGTCCCACCTCATAAGATTCTGAATGGGACTCAGGATTCCACCTAAGGTCCTATACTCTGCAAAGGCTCCACAAGAGGCCTATTTCTCTGGGCAAGTTCTAGAACCCCTTTTAGGTATTCCGATCTTTTAGAGTCTGTAGCTCATTTTTGATAAGGAGAAAGTAATTATATAATGAGATGAGTCCAATATAAACTTTGACAGCAGTATATAAAATGCTTGAATTTGAAGGGATCATAAGTATTTGGAAAAACAAATTAAAGCCTTTGATTTAGCAGCTAATAAAATAGTAGTGATTAAAGAAAATGGTAATAAACACATCCTCCAGATAAATTTATAATTACTTTATTGTTTAAAATTTCTTATTTCTGATCCCACAGTATTATTGTCTTTGATACTAGCTGTAGTATAAGCACTGAACTGTTAACGACAAGGTCAGCAATTCAAACCCACCAACCCCTCTTGGAAACTGTACTCTATGGCACATAACAGCAACAGTAACAATGGTTGTTTTTTTTTTGTATGTCTGAGTATGTTTATTACTAGTAATACATTATGTATTTTACTCTCTTATCCCAGAATACTTGAAGAACCTTTTATGACTCCTCTCCAGCCACTTTCTTCTAACACACCTATATGGGCCTGCCGTCTTAGGAGCTGTGAGGTAAGTTAAAAATACTACTGTCTATCTTCACCCATAAGGTCTGGAACTGAATTCACCTTGGAGGCCTCAATTTTTAGCCAAACAGTAGCTAGGTATATAGGCAGTGAGATAAGCACACAGTAGAATGATCAACCCAAAACTTACCCAAGGACAAAATTCAAATGGGTTGCAAAAGGAGGAGGAATAGAAACAAGAAACACAGGTAGACAGTGCAATACATGATGTTACATTGAACAGACGTAAATCATTAAGATGAAAGATTTTTTGAATGTAAAACTGATGATCTGCTCTGTAAACATTCACTCAATTCATAAGAAGCTAAAAAAAAAAAATACTTACCAGGAGTCAATATGACCACTCTTCACCCCAAATTATCTACTTTTAATCCAACTAACATATGCTGTCCATTACTTGTCTGTCAGTTTGTCATACTGTGGTGGCTTGTGAGTGGCTATGATTCTGGAAGCTATGCCACCAATATTTTAAATACCAGTAGGGTCGCCCATGGTGGACAGGTTTCAGATGAGCTTCCAGACTAAGATAACTACTTCCAAATATTTAGTAACTGAAAACCTTATGAGTAGCAGAGAAACATTGTCAGATATAGTGCCAGAAGATGAGCCCCTCAGGTTGGAAGGCACTCAAAATGCGACTGGGAAAGAGCTGCCTCCTCAAAGTAAGGTTAACCGTGATGATGCAAATAGAGTTAAGCCCGTGGGAGTAAGAAGGTCCATGGGACCTTCATTTGCTGATAGGGCACAACTCAAAATGAAGAGAAACAGGTGTAAATATCTATTAGTAATCGTAACATGGAACGTACGAAGTACACATCTAGGAAAATTAGAAATTGTAAAGAATGAAATGGAACACGTAAACATTGATAGTTAGGCATTTAGTAAGCTGAAATGGACTGGTTGTGACCATTTTGAATCTGACAACCACATGATTTACTATGCCAGGAATGACAAAGAGAAATGGTGTTGCATTCATTGGCAAAAAGAAAATATCCAGATCAGTCATGAGTACAATGCTGTTTGTGATAGGATAATATCCATGTGCCTACAGGGAAGACCAGTTAATACCACTATTATTCAAATTTACGCACTAACCACTAAAGCCAGTGAGGATGAAATAAAAGAATTTTACCAACTTCTTCAATCTGAAATCGATCAAACATGCAATCAAGACATATTGCTCAGTTCCTGTTCTGTTTTGGAAACGTATGGTTTTCCAGAAAATTCTCAGTAATTTTAAGATAAGTTAACCTAAGTAAAAACAGCTTGAAAATATGTAACTATTCTTACATATGCGTGTGTGTTGCTTTTGTTTATTTTTTTGGTCTTGCTGTTCTAAAGAATGTTATGCTGTTGCAACATTTATTATCATAAGAGTAAGCATTGTTGCTGTTGTTAGTGCTGTCAAGTTGATTCCAACTCATAGCAACCTTGTACAGTATTTCCGAGCAGCAGCTGGTGGGTTTGAACCACCAACCTTGTGGTTTGCAGTCCAATGTTTACCCTACAGCACAACACTAGGAGTCCTGTTGAATCTAATCCTTTAAAGCATCGGTCCTCTTTTCCCTCTTCCATAAAATTTACATTGGATTAATTTGTAATTTAGCTGCTTTCTGTTACTTTTAGATAATCAGTTCATTTAAGAATACTCTACAGAGACATTTTGTAGCAAGGAGGAGAGTGATTAACTTTTCAGTCTAGGAGCGGAGGTCCCTGGGACCATCAAGGGAGAAGAGCAGAGAGCAGGACCCTATCTAGAGAAGCAGTGATACCTGAGATGGAGGCAGAGACAATGACATGGAGAGATGAGCAGCTGGGGGCTTTAGACACAGAGGGAGAGGGACTGTGTGCTGACGACCGGGGGGCAGGCTTGTAGTATATACTCTTTGGTTGGCTGATAATGATGGAGGGGATTGTAATCATGGTAATGAAACGATATACAATAGGATGAATGTAAAACTAATGTTCTCCCATGTAAACTATCACATAATTCACAATAAAACATTAAAAAATAAATACATAAATAAATAAATAAAGATGTATTGCTCATTACTGGTGATTGGAATGCAAAGATTGGGAGCAAACAGGAAGGACCAGTAGTTGGAAAATATGGCCTTGGTGATAGAAATGATGCTGGAGAACGCATGATAGAATTCTGCAAAACCAATGATTTATTTATCTCAAATACCTACTTTAGACAGCATAACAGACGACTATACACATGGATACACAGAAATCAAATAGACTACATCTGTGGAAAGAGACAATGGAAAGCTCCATATCATTAGTCAGACCACTGTACAGCTCTTGTAACTCTTCATTTCTTCCATTTGCTTTAGTATCTCTACACTGGAGAGCAAATTTCAATGCCTCTTCTGACATCCATTTTGATATTTTCCTTCTTTCTTGTCTTCTTATTGACTTTTTGCTTTCTTCATGTTGATGTTCTTGATGTCATCCCACAACTCTTCTGGTCTTTGGTCTTTAGTGTTTAATGTATCAAATCTGTTCTTGAGATGAGCTCTAAATTCAGGTGGGATATATTCAAGGCCATAGTTTGGTTCTCGTGGACCTGTTTTCATTTTCTTCAGCTTTAGTTTGAGTTTGCATATTAACAATTGATGGTCTGACTTCGTCTCTCATACTTCGGACATACTGTCAGGAGGGACCAGTCGCTGGAGAAAGATACCATGTTTGGTAGGGTGGAGGGTCATAGAAGAAGAGGAAGACCCCCAGCAAGATGGATTGGCAAAGTGGCAGCATCAATGGGCTCAAGCGTGACAACAAGAGTGAGGCATCTAACAACAACAACAATATATGCAATATTTGTATTATTTTATATTCACATTAAATCTCATTTCATTTAATTTTCATTCCTTATAAACTGTTTGTTGTTATTGTTGTTAGGTACATCAAATTGGTACCGACTCATAGCGACCCTATGCACAACAGAACAAACACTACCCGGTCCTGGGCCAACCTCACAATTGTTGCCACACTTGAGCCCATTGATGCTGCCACTTTGCTAATCCATGTCACTGGGAGGGGGTCTTCCCCTTTTTCTCTGACCTTCCACCTTGCTAAACATGATGTCCTTCTCCAGTGACTGGTCCCCCCTGACAATGTGTCAGAAGTATGAGAGACGAAATTTGGCCATCCTGGCCTCCAAGGACCACTCTGGCTGCACTTCTTCCAACACAGATCTGTTTGTTCTTTTGGCCCATGGTACTTCCAATATTCTCCTCCACCACCATAACTCAAATGCATCAATTCTTGTACAATCTTCCGTATTCACTGTCCATATAAACTGTAAGCTCTATTAAATCTGTTGTTGTTGTTGTTAAGTGCCATCGAGTCAGTTCCGACCCATAGCAACCCTGAGCAGGGTTTCTGAGGCTGTAAATCTTTACG